TTAAATCATATGGTGAATTACTAGTTCTCATTAGGGGTGCAAATGAGTCGAGTCGAGCTCGAGTCAGGAGGTGTTAGAGTCGAGCTCAACTGTCAAATACCGAGCTCGAGCTCAAGCTAAAACTCGAGTCGAGCTAAAAATTTGAGCTCAAGCTCGATCGACTCGTTCCATCGTAATTGAGCTCGAGCTCGAGCTCGAGCCATTCATCGAGCCCCAAACATAGTTCGGTTCGCTTCCAACATGCGTGGCGCGATCCTCCAAAAAATTAATTTTGAGGTTTTAATTAGCCTAAAAAATTGCAGCGAGAGAGAGAGAGAGAGAGAGAGAGAGAGAGAGAGAGAGAGAGAGAGAGAGAGAGAGAGGGTATTGAGATTTGAGCCTTTTTTCAGTTTTCCACAAGGGAGAATGAGTGTTAGATGTTAGCATTTATTACACATAAGAGAGGGGCCAAATCAGAGAATAGAGAGAGAGAGACAGAGAGAGCATTTGGCGGTATGAGATTTCAGGCAGTTTTTTAAAAAATATATTTTCAGGCGGGCTTATTATTAATTTTCTAAATATTTAAATTTAATAATTTCGAACTGGCTCGCGAGCTTGCGAGTAGAGCATTGTCAAGCTCAAACTCGAGCTCTTTTAATGAATGAGCTCAAGCTCAAGGTTCAATAAGCTCGGCTCGCGAGCTCATAAACGAGTCGAGCTCAAGCAGGCTCGGATCACTTACACTCCTAGTTCTAATACAAAATAAAAAAAGTTTTGTGCATTTGATGGGCTTTTTTCATGAATTCTATGGTGTCGATAAATGTTAGTATTATTAAAAATCATTATCTTAATTAGACTTATCTAGAATATATATCTTCCCCTTAATTGTCTTAAGAAAATTGTGATATGATATCTAGTTGAAAATTGTCACTTTGAAGATGTTCCAAAGATTCTTCCCTTTTGCTGTCGGTCATAGACAGAGTTGCCCTCTTAGTCTTTATCTGTTATGTATTGCAATGGATGCCCTTTCCTGTTTGTTGGACATCACATCTCCTATTGGGAATTTTGAGACGTTTGACTGAAATGGTTACATGCTTTTCACACATGATGTATGCAATTGATCTTCTCATCTTTGGGAAAACCGAATTTCAAAACTGCGTTGTTTTAAATCAAATGCTTAGCCCATTCTCCAAATCATCTAGTCTCCTAGTAAATTTTGATAAAAGTTCCCTCATCCTCCCCCACAAATGTCAAAATGCTAATCACATATGTTTTGCTCTCAATATCCAGTCTCCCTCATTATCTATTTCTTATCTTGGTAGTCCTATCTCCCCGTACAATCCCAAGCTAGCTGATTTTACCATTTTGATGGAAATAATTACACATAAGTTGTCAGGGTGGAAAGCTAATGTTTTATCCTTTGCGAGTAGATTGCAGCACTTGTGCTTCACTATTTGGAATACCATTGCCTACTGGATAAGGCCCCATTAATGCTTGAATATTTGCAATCTTTAAGGATCATGGGTGGGTTATCCCGGGGAATTTATCAGGATCTATTGCGGAAGCACTACCTCATACTCCCATTGGGAATCCCTCCACCAATTGTTTAGTTTGGACTCATTGTAATGAGGAGAAATTTAATTCTTATAAGGATTTCTTTTACATAGAGGGGGACTCTATCTCGTGGCATCATTTTGTGTGGCATAACCATTTTGCATTGTGTTTCTCTACTTACTGTTAGATGTCTTTAGTTGGAGGTCTTAAGACAACTGATGCCCTTCTTAAAATATGCATGCCCGTGGATTAGTCCTGTTGCCTTTGCCTTGTCTCTTTTGAGAGTGTTCTCATCTATTTTCCAAAATTAATTTTTCATTTCATATGATTGGTAACTTAATTCCGGGCATTAACCACCATTTGCTTAGATCGAACATCCTTCAAGTTTTCCAGCATATTCAAGAACTAAACTCAGCTGCTAAGAATGCAAGAAAATTTTATCACATGATTTCTTGCTGCTCTATTTACTTCTTGTGGCGCAAAAAGAAAGAGGAAATTTGAAAATGCTTTTGCCTCTACAATTATCGTATGTACTAAAAATAGCATTTTTTTGGATAAGTTGTCAAATGGAAAAATGGCACAGAATTAATGGATCTTTTATGAAGTCACATTTTTTGGTGCTAATATGATGTTTTTTTTTGGATAGGATAAATATATTGCATTATCTTCTCCCCTTGGAAGGCATTTTTTTGCAGCATTTCCTTTCATGATGGCATTTTTTTGCAATAAGAGAATTATGGGCCTCGTGAATGTAATCGTAATTTCTAGCACTATTTTTTTGTGGTGTAAATTATATTACACATTTTGTCTAAGCTTTGCCTCCTTTCATTTTTATTTTTATTACAAAATTTTACGATGATTGTATTCTTATAACTTCACACTTGTAATTAAATTTTCTTAATGGAAATGGGGCCCATCCCTTAATTTTTCAAAAAATAAAAATAAAAAACGAGCTCTTTTAATGAACGAGCTCAAGCTCGAGGTTCAATAAGTTCGGTTCGCGAGCTCATAAACGAGTCGAGCTCAAGCCGGCTCGACTCACTTACACTCCTAGTTCTAATACAAAATAAAAAAAGTTTTGTGCATTTGATGGGCTTTTTCATGAATTCTATGGTGTCGATAAATGTTAGTATTATTAAAAATCATTATCTTAATTAGACTTATCTAGAATATATATCTTCCCCTTAATTGTCTTAAGAAAATTGTGATATGATCTCTAGTTGAAAATTGTCACTTTGAAGATGTTCCAAAGATTCTTCCATTTTGCTGTCGGTCATAGACAGAGTTGCCCTCTTAGTCTTTATCTGTTATGTATTGCAATGGATGCCCTCTCCTGTTTGTAGGACATCACATCTCATATTGGGAATTTTGAGACATTTGACTGAAATGGTTACATGCTTTCACACATGATGTATGCAATTGATCTTCTCATCTTTGGGAAAACCGAATTTCAAAACTGCGATGTTTTAAATCAAATGCTTAAGCCCATTCTCCAAATCATCTAGTTTCCTAATAAATTTTGATAAAAGTTCCCTCATCCTCCCCCACAAATGTCAAAATGCTAACCACATATGCTCTGCTCTCAATATCCAGTCTCCCTCATTATCTATTTCTTATCTTGGTAGTCCTATCTCCCCGTACAATCCCAAGCGGGCTGATTTTACCATTTTGATGGAAATAATTACACATAAGTTGTCGGGGTGGAAAGCTAATGCTTTATCCTTTGCGAGTAGATTGCAGCACTTGTGCTTCACTATTTGGAATATCATTGAACATGACTAATGGATAAGGGGATCTATCATACCTAAAACTATTATCAAGCAAATTGGCAAAATTTGTGCCAAATTCCTTTACTTTGGAGATAATAACTCTAGGAAATTACATCTGATTTCTTGGAAGAATACTTGCAAACCTAGAGCTCAGGGTGGGTTAGGGATCCCCTCCATTGAAGCTCTGTCTTTTGGGTATAACTATGCTCTTATTGCTAGAATATATAATAATACCTCTCTCCTATCGAAGTGGTTTATTTGTTGATACTGTTTGACTTGGAGATCTCCTCCAACTAATGCTACAGCATTTTGGAAGCATCTCTTTTTGACTGCTCAATCTACTATGGCTAATTCCATTTTCAAAAATTCTACTTCTTCTCCTATATCTTTATACTAGGATCATTGGCTAGATGGGATGACTTTAGCTGATGTAGATGGTATGCGGTTGTTGCTTACTTTTGCTTACTTTTTTCCCCATTAATGCTTGAATATTTGCAATCTTTAAGGATCATGGGTGGTTTATCCCGGGGAATTTATCAGGATCTATTGCTGAAGCACTGCTTCATACTTCCATTGGAAATCCCTCCACCAATTGTTTAGTTTGGACTCATTGTAATGAGGAGAAATTTAATTCTTATCGGGATTTCTTTTACAGAGAGGGGGACTCTATCTCGTGGCATCATTTTGTGTGGCATAACCATTATGCATTGCATTTCTCTACTTACTGTTAGATGGCTTTAGTTGGAGGTCTTAAGACAACTGATGCCCTTCTTAAAATAGGCATGCTCGTGGATTAGCCATGTTGCCTTTGCCTTGCCTCTTTTGAGAGTGTTCTCATCTGTTTTCCGAAATTAATTTTTCATTTCATATGATTAGTAACTTGATTCCGGGCTTTAACCACCATTTGCTTAAATCAAACATCCTTTAAGTTTTCCAGCATATTCAAGAACTAAACTCAGCTGCTAAGAATGCAAGAAAATTTTATCACCTAATTTCTTACTGCTCTATTTACTTCTTGTGGCGCGAAAAGAATGAGAGGAAATTTGTAAATACTTTTGCCTCTACAATTACCGTATGTACTAAAAAAAACATATTTTTTGGATAAGTTGTGAAATGGAAAAATGGCACAGAATTAATGGATCTTTTATGAAGTCACATTTTTTGGTGCTGATATGATGTTTTTTTGGGGCTAGAATAAATATATTGCATTATCTTCTCCCCTTGGAAGGCATTTTTTTGCAACATTTTTTTTCATGATGGCATTTTTTTGCAATCAGAAAATTATGGGCCTCGTGAATGTAATCGAAATTTCTAGCACTCTTTTTTTGTGGTGTAAATTATATTACACATTTTGTCTAAGCTTTGCCTCCTTTCTTTTTTATTTTTATTACAAATTTTTACGATGATTGTATTCTTATAACTTCACACGTGTAATTAAATTTTCTTAATGGAAATGGGGCCCATCCCTTAATTTTTCAAAAAAAAAAAAAATTCCAAAATTATTTGTTTTAAGGAAAATATAATATCATATAAAAATTTACCTGCCAACTTGTACAGAAAAATTTATCCCCCGTCCCGGTGGGAATACTGTAATTCACATCTGTGAACGGTCAGATCACCGCCTCTAATCTCCATGGAAAGATACCAGCCGTCCGATTCCTTAGTCGGCGTGCCGCATCATTTCTTTTCGAGCAAGAAAGAGAAGAATCTGACTTGCTCACGATATATGTACCCCTTTCCCCTCCGCTAGCGACCTCGGCTCTTCTCCTTCTTCTCTACTCTCTTCTGTTTGTTCATCAAGAGGAGAGAGCCCATACTAGATCGATGAACTATTCCATATACAGCAGCTTGAGGTAGATGGGCTTTTGCTTTTCTTATTCTCTTTGATTGCTTTTGTATTTATTTCTTGGGGTTATGATTTTGTGAGTTTTTGATCGGATCGGAGGTGATTAAGAGCTGAGTTCGTTGATTGAGGGTGTGGTTTGGTAAATTGTTAGCTTGGGTTGGGTTAGGGTTAGGATTTCGAGTGGAAGGTGTGGGATTGGTAATTACAGGCTAAGGTTCGGTGGATGAATTAGTCGGCTCGGTGTTGGGTGTTTTGTTTTTTTGGCTTTTTTGATAGCTGGATAGTTGGATGATACATTTGGAGTTGAAAATTTATTTGGATGGGACCTTAGCTTTCTTTTCCTCTTTAGAAATCGAAGTGGATATTTATTAGTGTGTTAGATAGCTAATATTGAGCTAATGATCTACTTAAAATTGCTTAAGTTTAAATAGGAGTTAATGATTCGTCAAAAAATGCTAAGCTTGAAGATTTTGTTTGGTTTGAATGAATTGCAACAAAAGAAGGGTATTGAAAATGATAAATGAACTGACTTGAAACTTGTTTTTACCTCATTTGTTTGGTTGAGGAGAGAATTGGTGAATCTTTTTTTCTTTCTTATTTTGTTGATGAAGAAGTTTCTGGTGGTGAGATGGCATGTAAATCAGTGATAATATGATAAATTTGTCTTTCCATTTTTTTACTAGGGCTGGGTACTAATTGTCAATGGAAACTGCATTTATTTACATTTCTTCAGTAAATTCAACTATCTATTAATTCCATTATGATCAAAAGTCAATTTAAAATTGTGAAGTAAAAATAATTTGCATTCTCCCCAATTGCTTCAGACCAAACAAACACAAAGCCTCTGCCGTAGATATTATAATTTCCTTATTGCCTGAGTTACATATTCTACAGATAGCACCGTGATGTTTTGCATCTATTTAGAGGCCTTCGGTTCTTAATTTTTGCATGGTCCATGAAAATTTTTATCTGATAGATTTATCTGATGTTGCTAATTGGGTGGGATGATCGAATATTACTTTTGTTGGTTTATAGCTGTAGGGTGAATGATTTAAGTATTTAACCTGTTGAATACTTGGATGTTTTTGTCGGCTGGATTTATAGCGAGATTTTAATTGATATGTTGGGCGATAAAATATCCTTAATTTTGTTTTGAGGACTTATCTTTTGCAAATATTGCATATTTGATGTTTCCATAGGGATGTTGTTCTGCTTGATGCATATTTGGTCATGTTTATTCAACCATTCGCCACCTTAAGAAATTGTTGTGCAATATCACCATTGTTGTGTAAGTCAAGTGGGCTAGAATGGTTTACTCATCTGCTTGATTTCACTAGCCAACTATGCAGCCAATTTTCCTTAAATCATTAATCTTTAGAGTTTTTAGTTCTCCATGCATTGCCTCAATTCAATAAACGAACGCCCATGAGTCCCTGCTAGCATATGCCATTATTATCATGTCTGTAGGTAGGATAAGCTGGCTTCAATTTCGTTTTCTCCTGCTAAAGATGCATTTTTTTCCACTTTTCCTCATACTTGGAAGATATTTGGCCGTAAACCTTGTCCTTAACTTCCCCATTTGAAAATCCTTGTTCTTTAAGTTTTCCATTCTGTTGGTTAATATTCTTTGGAAGGCTGCTCCTAATTCTTTTGTTTTTAGGGTTCTTGAGCTCAAGGCATTCGTGGACATGAGATTCTGGATGCACTAGGGGGAATCTGTAAAGTGGAGAAAAGCTTCTTTAGAAGCAATAATTCTTGTTTGAAGTTTTCTTTTGTGAATAAAAATGGATGTCATGAGAACAAAGGTGTTGGATAGTATTGAAATAACTTATAAAAATGCCAAGGGAAATATAATGCCTTCTTCTGCTCTTCATTTCTCTGATTATGGCCATGTATGCGTATCTAATCCTTACAAGTGTGATAGTTTAAAATGCTCCAAAGTACTTAAAGCTGGGGAGTCTTCTCCTACTGAAAAGCGTACTGTTAGAAACTATCGCAACTTTATGAGAAGTGGCTTGCCTCATCGGCTTCTGTTTTACAAGAACAATGAATGGATTGATTTTGCTGCAGATATCATTGATCTGATGCATGATGACTTCCAAGCAAGGAAGGCTATTATAGAAGTTACTTATAAGAATCAACAATTTTTATTGGACTTTGTGCGTATGCTACATATAGATACAAAGACAGGTCTTAGCAAGCCACTTGCATGGATTGATGAGCATGGAAAATGTTTTTTTCCAGAAATATATTCTGAATTTTCTGCACCCCATGGTTATCTCAGGGGAGAAAATGTTTGTGCACCTTGTGTACCAAATGGTATGCTTGAGCTTGATTCCCGTTGGGATACCTTTGCAAGTGCCTCAGAAAACTCAAATTCAGGATACCCTCTTCATAAGGATAAACAGATTATGTGTGGAAAGCTAATTTTAGAAAATGATCCTATTGCTTTGATGGGTGAAGTAGTGGGTGAAAATGATCTATCTCTTCCTATTTCATCCAAGGTAATGGAGCAGGAAATTGCACCTGCAGAAGCTAATTGTCAACTTGATTGTGTTTCTGTCCATAATTTTTTTTTATCTGGAATGTTTCCATATGTTGATGCCAAGGGCATAGACAGCATCTCAAGAGCGCCTATATTTAATCGATCGGGAGAATTTCTCTCTAGTAGCTTCCTGAAGCATATTGAGATTAAAAAAAAATTTCGCGGTTTTGCTAACGTGCGTTATGCATGGCTGCCTGCCACTAAGTCTACTGCAGAAGACATGATGTTGCATGGAGTTGTGAAGGTTGAGAAGCCCGTGCTTGGTAGCACATATGGTCTTGGTGTTCATCTTGCACCAGTGAACTACCCAAATATCTGGTGAGATTTTATGTTGATTGTCTGTTCTAAGAGTTTCTAGTTTGTGGACTAGGAAAAGCCTTTAAATTCATGGCCATGATTTTCATTATCTTGCTTTAAATTGCTAATGTTTTACTTTCAAGAATTAAGGGTTGCTGATATATTGTTATCCACAGTGCTACTACCTTGACGGATGTCGATGAAAATGGTCTATCTTATATGATGCTATGTCGTGTTATTATGGGCAACATGGAGCTTATTAATCCTGGATCTAAACAGTTTCAGCCTACCAATGACAATTTTGACAGTGGAGTAGATGATCTTCAAGTTCCAAAGCATTATGTTGTGTGGGACATGAATGTGCATACCCATATCTGCCCTGATTATATTGTGGCTTTCAGGCTTCCCGCTAAAGCCAGAGGTAGTTTTTATGATATATTAGGAGCTTCTATTTACTGTGCTTGGAATGCTAACAGCTAGAGAACTGCTCTTCTTCCTATTTGCTGCAGAGTTATTATTTGGAAAAGAAAGTGCATCCAATGAAACTGGAGTCACATGTGTTGCTTCACCTATATCGAAGGTCGCTAACCTATGCTTTTATTAATTGGAATGCAATTTTGCATGACAGAAATGCAATAAAATTATCTTTTGTTTATGAGAATTTTAGGAATTGCATGCAATTCTCTTAAGATCATTGCATTCCTCTTCAAAGCTATGTTCTCCAATTAATTTTTTTTAAGTGCCAAAATCTATCTTTTGGGTGTAGGGGTAGTAAAGCAAGATGGTGATAAGTCCTAATTTTTCTTTTTTTCAGGTAGGAAGTGATATTCCGCTTGGAATACCAGCTAACCAATCGCAGGGCAAGGAACAATCGTGTGGTAGAGTCCCTAAGCCATCTTCCCCCTGGATGCCATTTTCGATGCTGTTTGCTGCAATTTCAACCAAAGTTCCTGCTAAAGATATGGATCTTGTCAATACATACTATGAAGAATTCAAGGTGGCTACTTCAAATTTTCTTTGCTATTAGTTTTACTCTGTATGACATTTGGGCTTTATAGATGTTCCTTTTTTCCTTTTAACCAGAAAAGAAAAATAAATAGACTCGATCTTGTTAAGAGATTGAGGCATATCATTGGGGACAAACTACTGATATCTACCATAACGAGGCTTCAACATAAGGTGAGTTTTTTTTGTCTGGATAACCTTAAGAGCTGTCCTTTTATTATGTGCTTCTGTTCCAAGCTGTTATATTTCAATAATACCATTGGAGGAATTCACATTTTAATATAACTCTTGATTTCATCACATTATTATTATTATTATTATTATTATTATTATTATTATTACTATTATTATTATTATTATTATTATTATTATTATTATTATTATTATTATTATTTTGTGATTGCTATACTCATTTATTATTATTATTATTATTATTATTATTATTATTATTATTATTATTATTATTATTATTATTATTATTATTATTATTATTATTATTATTCCAGTGGACCGGTCTAAAACATTTTTTAGAAGACGCTGGATTTTTAAATAGAACATTACCCTGAGATTTCATCCCCTGATGAGGATTTTATGATCTTTTTTGATATTTCTCATAACTGTAAATTCTTATGGTTAATTATTCCCAGCAATCACGAGAGAGAACTTTAATTATTCATAGGCTCTATGATATTTTTCTTTGGTAGCACCATATGACTATTAGCTCAAAGTAGATGGTGAAATGATGAGTAACTTAATCAAGATATTATAAGTCAATTATCACAAGAAGCCATGTACCCTGGTCTGTTTAGTCAGTAGAGATAATCGATGCATACTAATTGATGAATCTTTTACAACAACAATATGCGGCGTTGTTTAAGCGAAGCTCATGGATTTGGGTTTACAGGTTCTCAATGGGGCTAAATATAAACCAATCTTAGTTCCAAAAGCTTCATGGCCTACTAGGTGCATCTTATTATCCACAACTTACAGTTATTTTTCCATTGAGAATATTCGGGCTTAGCCTACAATCATAATATAAACTATAATATATTGTCATCGTCTCAATCAGGTAAACTCTTGGTCTTATTACATATGCCTTATCTATGTGGCCCTGTGGGGGATCTTTGAGCATGATCATATGGTTACCTTTGATATGATATTAGCTTTTTATAAGCTTTTGTCAAACTTAAACTTATCATCTATGAAAAATTAGTGTGAAGGATGTGTGGGTGGCTGCTTTGAGCACTAATCAACCAACTATTGCTTGATTTTTCCACATTAGGAGAAAAGCCCAAAATGTATTTTCGTTAGAGTTTTAGGCATCTTTGTGTCAGGATCCTCATTCCAGTTATAATATTTTGATATTTGAACCCATCATTTGGGTTATGGCTTGAAGTTTGTCTTTATAATTAGTGGTTTGAACTTGCCCATAACCCAATGTACTGGCCTAATCTTATGTACTTCTCCCACTAAATTATAACCAACTGGTTTTATACGGAATTTTTCTTGGGATTCCTAACAAAAATCTCCTGAAAAATAAAAACTTTTTATCGCTTCTTAATGTGCACCTCATATAATTAAGGGATATTGACTTTCTAATGTAGCCCACATAAAGCAGCTTCCTCCTAAACGCTAAAGGGCTCTTCGACTCACCAAGATTTTGAAGGCTAACTAAGAAATTCTTCAAGTCTGTAAGTTTCAAGTAGCCAAGTTAGGAAAGTGCTAGTGACTTATTGCTCAAATTCACCTGAGTCGGTATAAAGGTCAAAATTAGCATGGGAAGACACTCAGATGACTTTAATATGATGCCTTGGTGGGTGTAGAAGTGCTTTCCATCTTTTCCAAACCTGGGAGCAACAATTCTTCCCTAATTATTTTTATAATAACATTTTGAGATATTTTTTTAATAATTTGATGCATATAATTTCTCAGTCATATATATATTATATTTAGTATTATTTGTTTATTATTATAGCATGATGAAACATTCATGATAGTATTATTAGTATTATTTATTTATCGTCTTAATGTTGTTAAAAAATTCTGCACATACAGATAAATTGAGAGCAACTCCCAAGAGATGAAATTTTTTATATGACAAATTTGGAAAGGGGAAAAAACCTGCATTGTTTAATTCAATTTAATGATTCTTAGTAACGTAATTCCATGATTATAAAGGATGCCCACCCTCTTAATTGGTGAAGGCGTTAATGTAGTATAATAAATATGAATTGTGGAAGATTCCACCTTTATGGTGTAGTAATAGGAGTCTTGATACATTAGAATTGTTATCAGGTGATAGTGGGTGATTGATTTGTTTGGAGATTGGGTGACCATTGAGACATGTGTTGGTGGTTGATGGGCATATTTCATATGTTTGTTGTTCGTAGGAGGTGGGTGATAGTTGATGAGAATGTCAGAGGTCGTGCAGCAATCGATGGTTGGCTCGACCATTTTCCTTATAGGAGGGAAGTTGGATGGCCTTAAAGACCGCATTATATATTGGCGGTTGACGAATGTTGATCATTGATAGTCATCGAGCAACAATTGATAAAGATTGTCGGAGTTTGGGCGACATTCCACAATTGACTTAGTAGTTACCCTTAGTAGGAGGTGAGATCAGGTGAATAGGAAGATGAACATCAATTGACACTCAACTAGTTTATTCTATTGATAGGATGGGAAACTAGACAGCTGAGGAGATAGGGTTATTCTTTGATAGCTAATAGTATTCAATAGTTGATAGACATTGAATGTATAGGTGACAAGCAATGATCTACTTGATTGTTCTCTGGATAAGAGGGAGATTGGGCGATAAGGAAGTCTTGTGTTGGAATTTGATGACAGGTTGTCGTCAGTAGTTGAATGACATGAAGTGAGATTGAGACAAGGGGTGTCATCTTTGGGTGATGGTGGGTGTCAACTTTGGTTGATTTTTGACATCTGGTGGCTGAAGGGGTGTAAACGAGTCGAGTATCTGCATAATCGACCTAAGCTTGTTTAGTTCTTACTAAAGTTGAGCTCGACTCGTTAAAAAATTTATAGGCTTGAGCTCGTTTGAAAAGCTCGAGCTTGACTCGATTATTGAACTCGATTTCGTAGTTTTAAATTAAAAAATTTAGTTTTTTTAGAATTTTTATTTTTAATATAGAATTAATTTAAAAAGGTTAAAATATATTATATAATGCTAAATTAAATTAATTTTTAAATATATTTTAAGTCAATCAAGCAGCTCAATGGAGGGCGTCAATGTTGGGATGAGTTGTATAGTTCTCTAAGTACGGGAATTTTCTCTTCCAAATATAAGTTCTCCCTTCATTTGTAGAAATATGGCCCACTTATCGATTTATGGAGAGCCATTCTATTAGGCTGCAGGACACTATCAGATGGTCCAACAATGTTCTCCTTGATCATTTGATGTTTTTTTGAACATTTTAAGGGCTTAATGAGCTTGTAATTGAGCGATCTTGGACTTTTCAAATTCGTTGATGAAAAATTGAATTAGTTTTTTTTTTCTTTTTAATTTGTTGATGAGAAATTGAGTTTTTATTTTTTTCTTTTTCTGTAAGGATCTGGTATGTGAATTAGACAGAGACATAATAATAGTAGGGGTTTTTAACAAAAAAATATATATTTTTCGTATATCCAAGATAAATTTAATCATTTATTAGTTATATTATAACCAAACACCATTATGTGAAATTATCAAGAAAAAATCAATTTCGTTTCCTTGAATACTTTCAAACCAGCATACCCTATTTCGGACAAGTGGATCGAAGCATTTTATTCTTTCATGCATCTACATTCCTAGTACTTGAAATTCACATTTTTCGTTTGTTTTTCCAGCTTCCTCCAGTGATGAGGCAAGAGCAGCCATTGCCATGTAGCAGGAAGCTTCAGACAAATCCTTGAGCAAGGGAAAAGAGCTGCACTTTCTGCAAAAAGGTAGGATAGATTAATTGTTAGTTCTTGGGTGGACCAATACTTGTACTGAAGTTTTTTTTCCCCTAAATTTCAATAGATCTGTCGAAATGAATATACCTTCTTTTGATCTAAGGTTTGATTTTTTATTTGGATTTTTACCATCTCTTTTGAAATTTTCTTTGATTACAGTGAATGATTGGGTGAAGTTATCTTTTTCTTTTTGGGAGGGGGAGTCTTGGATTAGCACTTTCTTTCTTTTATTGGCCATTAAGAAAGCTGCCTGAACTTGTTATTTTTTTAGGAAGCTCTGTTAGAAGGCTTGGGCTTGCAGAGCTTGTTGTCTTCCAGGTCGATCTTATTGGGTTTTCCATAGAAACATCCAGGCCCCAGTGTTCAAATTCTTGTTGAGGCTTCGTTTGGGACGGCTGTCTTCCTGCTTCTTAAAGCGGTTTTCTAGTATAAAAAATTTTAAATTTTGTATTAAAAAGTTGCTTTAAGTAGCAGGAAGAAAGTCGTCCCAAACAAAGCTTGAAACTCCATTGAGAATAAACTCGGATAGAGGCTCTAGTTTCTATTCTTTATGACTAGGTTGCCAACCAACATAGATGAAAATAAGCCATACCCTCCCTAAACTAAGCATCTCTACTAATCTAATCTGTGATGGTTCTTCTGCCATTATTGCAGTTAGCTATATTGATGAACTTTAAAAACCGTCTTTGGCTTATAAACTGATAGCCAGCACAGTAGAGCAGATGCTCTACTTAGCCTTTTAATGGCATTGTATCACGCAAGTCATTTGGCCCTACTAGGCTGTTCATCCTCCTTGAGTTGGCTTATCTTGCAATTCATATACTTGTGTTAGCTTGTGCTAGCTTGAGTTGGCTTGAATCGAATCCCTATTAAATACAATGAGTCGTATATGGCTAGAATTGATGCTCAATTAGGATCGCTTGAGATCGACTCGATTAACTTGGTGCTGCTGTTGAGTTGTGATCGAATTCTCTAAGATAAATTGTGAAGAAACTTATTTTTAAGCTTGTGGAATGATAAAGGTGTATTGATTGAGTTGGCAGAGCCAAAGGAATATTTATTATGTGCGGATGCCGAACATTGTCTGGAGACTAATCAGAATCATGCTTCGCTCAGTAACGCGGCTCGGTACTGCTCAGTATCGTTAGTTACCGTGGCTTAATACTGCTGATCTGGTTGCATCTAATTTGCATCCGGACAAAAAGTTTCGTTTTGAAGTTCGCATAGAATAATTTTTTCACAAAGTGGTCCGAGGCTATATATATAGTGGTACTATTGCTCTATACAAACCAACGTGTTGTGCAGTCCCGTCTATTAATCTCGAAGACCATAATAAGGTATATATATTTTTTTTGGGTAAAATAAGGTATATATATATATATATAGGTACTATTTTGTTAAACCGAACAAAATCATATGTTTTAATACTTTTCAAAGTAAGATACCCTTTTTTTAAAGTAAAATAATAAATACTGCTTGTGATTGAGTATTTTGAAATAAATGATTTTTAGAAATTTATTTCAAGAAGGATAAAATAATAAATTTTAATATTTGAATGAACGTTTTATAAACGGAGATGATGAGCATTAGTTTCATATACAACAAAAAAATTTAAGAGGTGCATGAAATTATTAATTAATTTTTGGTACATTTTAAAGCGAAATTATACCTTTGAAGTATTTGAAAACTAGGGTTTAGGGTTTAGGGTTTAGGGTTGGAGTATCTAAGGGAAAAGCTCCTAATAGTAAAAATAGTTGGTGGTGGAATCCAATTGTGCAAGAAAAGATTAAAAATAAGAAGATTTGTTATAAAAATTGGTTTAATTTTAAAAATTCTGATAATTGGGAATTATATAATATTTGAAAACTACAATAATCTAAAAAAATTATCAAATAAATTGTCATATAAATATTAATTAGATGAATTTATAAATTTTATTTTTCAAATATTAGTGAATAAGTACTCGAACTTATACCACACTGATAAAAAAATAATTAAAAATCTCATTGGGCTGAATTCAAAAAAAAAAAAATTGCTCTAAATTTTATTTATCTACCATTAAAAACTGTTTAAATATATATATTTAAATTTTTATTTGGAAATATAGATTATTACTCTAACGACAAATAATTCTTTCAAAAATTTCATAAAACAAAATAACCTCTTGGCTATGAACTCCATTTAATAGACGAAATAAATGGAATGCAGGCGGTCCTCGACTTTCGCGACGACCAAGCCGGACCGGATTGGATTGGCGGATCCGGTCCGGTCGCAATCACATGGCCCAAAACCCGAGCTGCCCGTTCTGCCCGGTGAACTGTGCACATCCACCTGCCAATCATAATGTAATAGATTGCCAAATCATTATCTCTCCATTGTTTTACATTTTGCATTTCCCACCCTATGCAAAAATATTTATGCGTTTGGCACAATCTTCTTTGCATCTGACATTTCAGATTTATTTCTCAAAGTACGACGTGGACCGGACTAAAAGCATCGGCTCGGCGGGCCGGGTTCTCCGGGGTCTCTGCAAGGAAGACACGTGGCCAAAGGTGAGGCCGGGAACGTGCCACGCCGGATGACTTGTTGGTCTTATTTTTCTGTTTGTCCATGTGGGTAAATAACTTCAATTAGTGACTGCTAATCTCACTCATAATAAAAAAAAAGAAAAATTTTGAGGAATTATGACAGTAAATAGAATGGAGCATGAATAAAGAGTGAGAAATTAAGATGATGTTCCATTTGCTGCATTTTGTTGGTTAGGGTATCAATTCGGGTCAACAGATCGGGTTCAGGTTGATCTGAACTCAACCCGTTTAACTAAATGGGTCGGGATTTCTAATCCGGACCTGACCCGCACTGGTTGTCGGGTTGAACTGACCCATCCCACAAACCGCGGGAACAATTGCTGAGTCGCGTCATCTAAGGATTGGGTGTCGACGCGTCATGGGCGAATGGCGACTGGGCAAAGGCGCATGCGCGTGTGCGTAGGGGCTGAACTCGGATGGACTAATGGACGGCCTGGGCGAGGTGAGGTTGACGCGTCGTAGGGACTAGGAAAGGCGAGGTCAAGGCTGAGCGCCTGTGCGTAGGGCCTGAACGCGAACGGACTGAGGGAGGACTCGGAGTGAGGCGGCGGCCGACTAGCGGAGGCAGGTCGACTGGACAAAGGCTGAGCACGCAGGAGCTCACAGAATGGAAGATATTATAGTTAAACAAATAATATAGTTTATATTTTGTACAAAGCTGAGGTGTATGTATTTGATTGGTTATTTACATGTATTTATCTAATTGGCTCTGCTCAAAAGATGTAACGTCTAATGCCTATAAATATAGGCCTGTACTTCATCTGTAGACAAGATTAATAATATTCATTCTTTACTTCGTCTTCTTCTTACTCCTGTTCCGTCATTCGTTCTTCCTGTTGCATGCATTTCCACATGGTATCAGATTAAGCTGTCGATCCTCCTGCTGCTCCATGGCTCATTCTGCGACTTCTACCATCGCTGAACCTCGATCTGCTTCAGCGAATGATTCTACCGATCCGGTCATCTCTTCAAACCTGAAATTTCTTGTTTCTAATATCAAGAATGTCGTTTCTATCCAGTTATCCCCCCGACAATTTTCCCCTGTGGAAATCCCAGGTCCTTAAAATCTTTAAGGCAAACGGTTTCCAAAAATTTCTTGATCCTGCTATCTCCCCACCGTCTGAATTTCTGCTAAATCAAGATTTTCCAACGAAAATCTATTGCGACTCCTTACTGCTTTTTCAGATGCCGACTGGGCAGGCGATCCATTATCATGCAAATCCACATCAGGTTTTTGTTCATTCTTGGGCGATACGATCATTTCCTGGACGGTTAAGAAGCAAACTACAGTCGCCCGATCTTCGACAGAATCCGAGTACAGATCTCTGGCGGCTCTAACCACGGACATTATCTGGCTTAGACGTCTCCTTCATGACTTCAGCATCGAGCAACATTTTCCAACGAAAATCTATTGCGACAACACCTCGGCAATAGCTCTTGCTAACAACCCGGACTTCCACGCTCGCACAAAACATATTGAAATAGATCAACGATTTGTGAGGGATCATATACAACAACAAAATGTCTCCATTTTGCCAATAAGTACTATTGATCAAGTTGCGGACATTCTTACTAAGTACGTTTCCACACCTCGCTTTCATACTTTACAAACCAAACTGACCGTCACTAAGGACCCATCAGTTTGCCGGGGCGTATTAGAGTTAAACAAATAATATAGTTTATATTTTGTACAAAGCTGAGGTGTATGTATTTGATTGGTTATTTCCATGTATTTATCTAATTGGCTCTGCTCAAAAGCTGTAACGTCTAATGCCTATAAATATAGGCCTGTACTTCATCTATAGACAAGATTAATAATATTCATTCTTTACTTCGTCTTCTTCTTACTCCTGTTCCGTCATTCGTTCTTCCTGTTGCATTTCCACAGAAGAAGCTCGCAGAACCAAGTTAGGTCATGCAGAATCGGGGTTGGCTGGGTCAACTTCAAATTTTCGGGTCAACTCGAATCTAAACCCAACCCGTTTCACAAATGGGATGACCCGAAACCGAATTTTTCCAGGTCCTGTTCAGGTAGGGGTGTCAATATTTGGCACGACACGAAAACCGGACCCGAAACTGACCCGGGAATTTCGTGGTCCGTTTGAAAAATGGGTCAGGTTCAGGTTCTTGGATTTGACCTATTTGAATGAGCTACCCACACCTGCCCAGACTACCAGCGCAGCTGCCCAGACTTCTGCACACCTACGTCTCGCCTGCGCGCCTGTGTCGGGTCGGGTCAACTCGACAATTCGACGGGTCGGGTCCGGGTCCGAGTTTCAGACCAGTTTACCTACTGGGTCGGTTAGGGTCGACCTGATTGAACCCGAATCAATTTCGAGTTTGACCCGAACCCAACCCGTGATCCGAAATTGACATCCCTAGGTCCAGTTCAGATTTTTGGTCATGTCAACTTTTGACATCCCTAATTTTGGGTGTACAACACTCTTTGCATTTTTTAAAGGAGGTTTTCAAAATTTTGGCATTTGATTAGGTGAAAAAGAAATAAAGATTAAAATTTAAATATTTGAAATTTACTTTTA